CCCGAAGAATTTCTCCATCAAATTATATTTCTCGGGATGCCTATTTTCAAATACATACGAGTTTATTTTATCTTATTGAAAGTCTTTGACCGTTTACAGGTGAATAAGAGGTCGCGACGCCAATATATATCCCACTAGTATCATAGTAGTTGCCTTGTTCACTTTAAAATTACGAATAACGCCAAACGTGGAACGAATTCTCCGTCGGACACCTACTAATCCAAAGGTGTAAAAAAATAAACTACTTGGCCAGGTATACGGTTTCCGTCTCACCCCCCGAAAGAAGGAAAGGAAGGCGACAAGGGGGAAGCAAGCAGAAAGTTGTTTACTCAAATATCCTCAGACACATGTAAAAGTATACATCTGTACACGCGCGACGACTTTCTTTCACTCAAGGTCATCCACGTAGAGGGTCCTGTCAGCGCCATGCACGGCATGAGTGTGCTCTGTTTTGGCGATTCGTGTTCCAAATTGCATTGCTCGCTTGGGCAGGGCTGCGGCGCGGCAAAGACCCAACTCGAAAGCAGCCAGGCGAAGCAGACGCTTTTCACCCTGACCTCGTGGTAGGCTAAAGTCAGCCTGCAAAACAAACAAAACACGAGGTGGCGTAGAGCAGTGTGTAAAATTGCCTGGGCGGCTGACGAAGAAACCTCCTCAGACAAAACTGATCAGCAGGAGAAATTAGTATAATTCACTTAACCCAAGTGTGTCTGACTGGTGCCCCGAGGCAAATTCGTACAGCTGCAGTACGTTAAGTGTTTTGATCAGATAATGCAACGCCAGCCCAAAAAAGATGTACAGTAGTCGCTAAGGATCAAACAACGTTCATGATGAAAGTTGGCTTGGTACTTTAGCATATATTTGGTAACACAATTATGATTCATTTAGTTCATTTAATTCTGCAAAAGCTTTTTCGTTGGGAAAATGACCGTTAGTTTTCGCGGAACTGGGAGTAGTCTCATATCGAAGGAACTTCCTATGTTATTAAGTATGACAGAACCAAACTTTTTATTAATGCGCATTATACTATGGGGGAACTCCAACATAAGTAATAAAAGGTATGAAACACACCGGAAAATGATGTCCGAAATTGTTCGGATGGAAGTGAGTTCAGGTTGAAGGTATCGCATTTATTTTCAGAAACAAGGAACAATTCCAGTTTTAATATTTTTTGCTATTCTGTGAAGTTTTGTGCCACAAAATGTACTAATAAATTGGTATGCCAAATCTGTTTTACCGTCCCGATAACTATGAGCGTAAGCTTGATATAGAAACAGGAACGCGCGGTATACGTTCACTTTTTGGTGTTGGGCTGTGTCATAGAGATGTCAGGTCATTATCTATGTGAAGCTGATTTTGTCCGTTTGCGAAAAATGGTGGCCAAAGGGCTGCTGCACAATTCCTTAGCTAATATGTTTGATATAAGCAAGGCCATCGTATGCAAAATTACTAACTGTAAAACAGTGCCCAGAAGGAAGAATCCTGGACCAAAACGATCTCTAACAAAACAAGATGACAATTGTATTCGTCGAACACTTAAAATATACCAATATATGTCCGTTAGCGCTCTTCACAGGGCAAATTTGTCAATGTTCTCTCAGACCCTAGTTAGGAACAGAATGCGAGAATTTGGCCCTTATCAGTGGATGGCTACGGTTAATCCATTTTAAGTAGGAACCATATTAAGGAACGTGTCTTATTTGCAAGGAATACATTAGCCGCAGAGTTTCATTCTGGAAAAGCATTTCCTTATGTGATGAAATACTGTTCCTAGACAAGTCGACAAAATCAGCCCATGCGGTCATATGAGAAAAGAACTTTCCCGAAGAACGGACTGCTTCAATATCAACCTTCAAGAACTGTGTATGGCGATCAATTTCGGTAAGCGATTAATCTGGCCGTCGACGAAAGAAAATATTAATAGTTCCGTCTACGTCAACATTGTCAGAGATGCAGTTGGTTATAATGACATTCACAGGCGTCGAATGGATTCTATCATACTACAAGATAATGCCCCTGCTCACCGATCAAAGGAGGTATGATTATAATTTACCTTACGACTAAAATCTAATTTTCCAAGACTACAGCCAGCCTTTCTGCACGCAAACAATTTTCAATCCGCCCAATAGTCCCGACCCCAATCCAATTAAAAATCTATTCGCCTTAATCAAGCGAAACTGGCACCAGCCTACCAAATACCATTCAATGGAAAATAAATTGGAGTTCATTCTTAATAATTATATATACCAAACCGTCATTGACGACATAATTGTATATATGCCCGCCCGGATTATTGCTGTTATAAACGCTAAAGGACATTCAACAAAATATTAGTATGTTATATATTTATAACTTTTCCTCATTAAGTATTTTCATCCTATTTTCTTTTGTCATTTATAGAACGACTTTTTTTATCCCCGACCTGTCCTACATCCCTTTTGGGATTTGACAGTTTTCGGTAAAACATATTAGTTCTTAGATAATAAATGATAC